TTAATTTACCAATTTATCTGCTGTTTTTTATCACTAAGTTTAGAGTAAAAGGGACATTTTTTTTAATCTTCTGTGATACCTAGCATGGCGACTTAATTTATAACAAACTCTTACTCATAACTCCATTCTCTCATTCTAGCTTGATAGTTTAACAAACTATAACAGCAGGAAGTGGGCCAGAGTGCAACAAATTGCCTTATTTAATTACTTCTTTTCAGTCTTGATTGTCAGTTGAAGTGGAGGGACACAATATAAATAGTGTTTGTAGATTTTTATTTCTATATGGATTCAGGGAGTTAGAGACAGAGATGAAGAAAAGAATGGTTAATAATATCTTTTGCACATATTAAAGAATATTGTTTCCTTCTTACTGCAAAAAATGAAAATAAAAAGGAAATAATGGGATAAAGTGTAATTCATTTGTGTAATACTTTCATTTTATTAGGAGAGTCTTGGAAATACCATACCTTAAAAGGACTAAATTTATAATGAAACAGTTCAGTCAATTTAGCAAGCCTGAGCAAGATATCATTAAGTAATGTGGACCTGGGAAAGATGGGGTGCCGTTTTTTGTTCCTTTAAATCACACTCCACCATAGGAAGTTACCTCCAACAATTGCAAGAACACATTTAAAGCAACTTTGCATAGAAATCAGTTTATCTCCTAGAAACACCTGTGCTAACAATTAAAGACTGGCAATGTCTCCTTTCATGTGTATCATTCGGGGAAATACATATGGGTATAACTACTTAGAAAATATTGCTGCCTGAGAAAAAGAAAACTTCTACTCCATGTTTTGACTAGAACTTGTGGGATTTTTCTGGGATAACTTAATATGATTAAGAGCCCCTGTAACCACAGCGTGACTTGTGAACTTTGCCACCGACATTTCTTCCTTCTCTCATATTTCTCAAATGTATCCAGATAAAAAGGATATGTTAGAAGGTAAAATGATTCCTACTTATTTGCATTTTCCAATGCTCAGGGATAAGCATAATTTTCTGCATATATTCGTTTGCCAATAATAATTCATTTCTTGAGGGGTTTCATTGTCCACCACTTGAAATTTCCTAGAACTTTGTGAGAATCTTCTCTATTCTGCTGTATCACTGCTTTTCTATGTTCTTTCAGACAATAATCAGTTAATCTAGTCAGATTCACCACTGCTTCCTCAGGAGACCCCATTGATCTGATTAACAAGTTCCACTAATCCTGGAAAAAACTATACATACTTAAATATGTTCTTCATATATGTTCCAATATTCTTTTTGAAAGAAAACTCTTTCACCATGTGTTCCTTGCTCAGATACTGAGAGGCTCCACTAGCCACCTGTTACACATTTGCTGATCCACTAAGTAGATAATCAAGTAATGGCCAGGTTCTAGCAGTCAAGATATGCAGTGTTACAGAAAACAAATGGCCATGATCTCCGAAGAATTTGGTAAAATATGGCATTTTAAATTAATGCTTTTTGAGTCATATTGGACACTGAGACAAAGAGAAAAATTAGATATACTGATTTTAACTTTATCATTGTGATATGTTATCATCATGGCTATTTGCATTAATTTTGATTGGTGAGAATATTGCATTTTAATAATACTTATTTTTGTTACTGAAGGTTTTGGCAACCTTTAAGTCTTGTTACATACAAGGAAATTGCCTCACTCATCTTACCCTTCTATTTGTCTGGTTTAATGAGCTTTCTGACCTACCTTTTAGGGTTCATAATGGAATTAGAAGACCAGGATCTTTATTTCCAATTTGAATATGTCTAGGTATAGACTATATAAATGGTTTAAATTTGAACAATGTTGATATATATATATATATCTCATCAGTTTCTATTAGTCATTTGTTGAGAAGGAAAATTACAATACATGTAAGTGAATTATATGAATGTCAGGCAAATTTTTATTCATTAATTAATGTCTCCAAGAGGGGACAAATTTAGAAGAAGCAAATTTCAGAATGGGGAGATTTACAATGCTTATTAAAATTCTTCTCCCATATTTTTGTTTTGAAAAGTGTGTTATCCAACTACTAACCTAGATAGCTAATCATTGCTAGAAAACACATCTGGTGCTTCAGCCCAGTTAAAACTTATGAGCATAATACTGTACAGATCACTTAAACATGAAGGAAAATGACCTTAACCCTGGTGACATTAGGTTGCATCCCTAATCAGGATGTCAGTATTTTAATAACCAACTACATATCCTGTACTCCACTTGTCCTATGTATTTGTAATGTGGATGTTTAACTTGCACATTTAATATAAGGGCTCTTGGGCGAGTCAGTATTTTCTTTCTAGTTGTATCTTCTCATAAAAGAGGAAAGACCGTATAATCAATACCACTTGAGCCTTTTTTCTGTAGTAATCAGGCTGAGTGCAGTTTATAGCTCAGTGAGACAAACACAGAAAAAAGGATACCTGCCCAATGCATAACACATTGGTAACATGAATGTATTAGTGATTAATAATAAATGCAGTAACCTACACAGCCAATGACATATTTCCATTGTCAAAAGTAAGTATCTATTACCTAAAATGAAGTACTAACCTTCTTTTGGACATATTAGAGAAATTAGTGTTTAGTTAACATGAGATACTTATATTAGTATACTTACTGTGATAGGAATTTCAAATTAACAGGAACAATTCAAGTGCATTTTAATTTATTAATAGACATGAAAAATCCTAAACAAGACACAAGCTCTAGCTTTAGAGAGAAAGAGAAATAGAAAGAGAGAGAGAGAGAGAGAGAGAGAGAGAGAGGAGAGAACAATAATCTTTAAAAGTTAGGTGGTTAGAGCTACTCATTTCAAAGAAAAGAGGATTCAGAGAAATTACAATCACAAGAACGTTCAATATCTAAAAGAAAATAAGAATTCATGACTTTTCATCTTTAATATAGTATTCTTCAGTATACTAATTTGCCTTCATTATGAATAACTTAAAAATATATCACATTTTTATTTTTAAAGATATGTAACTTTAGAAGTGGTCACTTTGCAAAATTATATGCTCATCCCAACGATATTGTTTCCCCAGTTATTCTAATGATTGTTTTCTTTGAAATTAGCTTTGCAATTGCTTTAGGGAAATCATAATACTAATTTTAAAATATTATGTACATAATTCACTATCGTTGTAAAAGGAATTTTTTGTTTGATATCTAATTTCATTGCCCAGACTTAGCTATGAATAGTTTTTGGTTGTTTCTAAAAATTAAAATTCCCTCAAAAGACAAAAAATATTTACTAAAGAATATGATATGAGTTTTGGATGTGATTCTAAAGGAAAATTCCCCAAATTTCCTGAGCAATAGGTATACAGTTGAAATAAACACATGGGCTTTTAAAATCATGGTTTAGATGAGACAAAATTCTGTTTTGCTCTATGATAATTCCGTTAAAGGAAATATTACCACTCTGGGTAATATCATATTTTAAAAGTTTCAGGTTACTGATAGGATAAAGTGGTGTGTGTGTGTATCTCTATGTGTTTTTGTGTGTGCTTGTGTGTGTGATTTGTGTATGCCTGTGAGGTATTTTGTTTCTTGGATCACTTTTCCCAGATAGGTATCATGGTGTGATGTTTAAGTTATGGAAATAAAATGGTTTGGAGACATTGTCAACAGTTCAATAGTTGGGTAGACAGAGCTACGCATAAAGCAAAGCAAGACAAATCAGAAGTTTTGTAGGAAGTGTCATATAAATCCAGTAACAAGAAGAAAAAGGATAAAAATTAAAGAAGATTTCGAAGTTGAAATATTGAGATATTAGTGTTATCAATGATGTTTCCAATGTTAGGAAGAACTAGGAAAAAAGTTCTCAATTTTAGGTAAATTCATTCTTAGAATTGTTAACTACTTATTTTAATCTTCCTCTTATCACATCTGTGAAGCCTTGCCTAATGACTAATGGTTAGATAAGAAAATAGGTAAACAAATCACTGAATCAATGATGGAAATGATGACATGACCATTTGATATTATCTTAAAAATAATCACAGTTCTTATATTCATAGGTACACTGCACCTAATATAACCACAGAACTAAACAACTAACCTTCCTAACTGGTAGAGTTGTGTTTCCATTTTCTTTGCATGTGACATATATTTATTTTAGTAAGTTCAGTAGAAGTATTTGAATCAAAGTTATTTGCCATGACTTAAGTGTTAAATGTCATTTAAAAATATTTATTAAGATTTTATGAAATAACACTTTTTAAAATTTTATGAAGGGAAAAGATGAAAGATTCAATGATGCCCATCTTAATGAGACTCAAGATGTAGGTGGGTGCTTAGTTTTCACTCCAGTGATACAGTCATCAAAAACCAAACAAATGGGGGCTGGGGATTTAGCTCAGTGGCATAAGCGCCTGCCTTGCAAGCAGGCAGTTGTGAGTTCAATCCCTGGTATCAAAACAAAACAAACAAACAAAAAAAAAAAACCAAACAAATATTGCGCATAATGGTATTTGCTAAAAAAAAACTATTTACTTCTTGTCAACAGTTTTGGGTTAAAAATGCATTTTCTTTAAATTTTCACAACATGCATTTATGGGAAGACAATTAGAAACAAATAATAACAAGTCAATATCTAAGTTACATCTAAATCCAACCTAATCTAACTTAACTCTTACCAGTGTCCAGGAATCCACTCTTATACTCAGAGTGGATAATGATATAGAGAAATAGGCAATTGGCTTAGAGCAGAGATAAAAGCAAGAAAATAAATAGGTATCTTTAAGTAGAAAATATATTATCCTTTCTCACCTGCAAGTTTTGGGGACCAGTGGTTGTTCAACATACTTAGGGTACCATGTGAGGTCTCTGGCTGTGATAGGGGAGGAACATGTCATTTTATGTCTCATGAAGGCATCACATTATGCAGAGAAAGCAAAAACAACATGGATTGCCTCAAATAAGGCATTATTCCATTTCAGTTCATGTGAATAAAGAGGAGGTCTTTTTTTTTTTTTTTTACCAGAAACTGAATTCAGGGCTTCATACTTGTGAGGAAGACACTGTGTCATTGAACTACATCCCCAGCCTAAGGAGGTAATTTTTAAAATCTGATTTGCTTTCATTTTTACTTTCTTTGATCATAACACAATGTGTCTACTTCAAAATATATTTCAAAAGTTGAGGGTTTTTTAAAGGACAATAAATGTGTTTTTTGAGTTTTATGTTTGGCTTAGCTCATGACTTGCACACAGAGATAGTAAATTTCTAGTTGGTTGACCTTTTAAAAAGGTCATAAATGTACACTGAACTTGAGAAGCCACCGTGGGTGTGAAGGAGGTATGTTTGTTTTGTTTTGATTGCTTCTTGCAAAAGCTTTTTAGTTTGCTTCCCAAACACTTAAGCAAGTATGCAATTATTTTAGAGAAGTGATACAGGAATTCCTAATTGGTTCAGTAAGATAGTGTGCAAAGTACTTATTTTTATCCATTAGCAAGTGACTGATAAAGATGCCCTAATTTCTCAGTTGGGGAAAATGGGTGGTGGAGGGGGGAGGCTGCAAACCTGCGAAGAAAAAAAATCTGAATTCTATTCTCAATGAATTAAAAAGAAAACTTTTTAAGAAAGTGGCTTTCATGACCTCCAAAAGATTTTTCCAGGATCAAAGCTTAAAATGGTAGTTAAAAACACTACATTTAAAAATATTTTATAACTTAAATGGCATTTATATGCCATGTTGTAAAGATTACTCAAAACTTGACAATTAGTGTTTTATATGTGCATGAGCATTTGTATTATCTCTTGTAAAAGTAAGCATTATAGGAGAAGATATGAGTAGGATAGAGTTATAACTCTCCATGAATTTACCATCTGTGATTTTATAGACAGTTTAAAATAACATCACACAGGATAAAACATATCAGGCTGTTAATAGAGCCACAAAACATTATGTTAGAATTCAAAAAGAGTCCTAGTTCCAATTTGGATAACAAGTAAACCTTAGAAAAGGAAATGAGATAATTAAAATTCTCCTTCAAAGAATTTTCTCTCCCATCAAGGTGAGAAAATGGAATTGAGAAACTATAATGTAAGGGCATTTAAACTAAAGTCAATGACAGAGACATTAAGGTGTATACTATGTGCTAGGAAAGACTGGCATGGTGAAACCTATGGCTTTCAAAAGAGTATAAAGAGACATAAAGCCAGAATGAGAGAGTAGGACTTTGAATGTTGGATTTTTAGACTTTTGCAATGCGGGTATTTGAAGGACTTTGTAAAAGTGCATGAGATACATCACTCTGTATCTGATAAAGACATTTGCAGAAATATCTCAGTGTAAAATTACAAAGTCAGCTATTCAACATATTAAAAAGGAAGTAGAGCTAGTGCTTATATTAAAATGTAAACAGGGATAAAATATGGATGCTTGTTATTCTTCTGAAATATTTCTGAGTATTATTGATGCTATCCTGAAAATATACAAAAAGTTTGCATTTGCCAGTGGGCATAATTATTTTCTTCCTATTTGTTTTGTGAAGAAAACGCCACTCTGTCCTTCCAATCAACCACAAATAGAAGTTCAATGTTTCTTAAAAAAACACCTGCAAACATTTGGGAAGAAGGCATTTTTTTAGTCCCAGTAGATATTGTTTGACACTACAGATTTCAAGAAAATAATAGATACATTTTTGCTGATTTTTAAAATTTATTACAGTAAAAGATACATCATCATCAATCCCACCAGAATGCTACCCACCACTGTCTTGAACACATCTATCTCATCATTTTTGCCATCCTGTGAAGAAGCGTTCTGGAAGTCCTCCCCCATGTCTCTGTCAGGTGTGATCCAAAATAAGGTAGATGGGGTAAATGTCACCCAACAAAAATGCAGATACAAACATTATGGTCTACATTCTCTCCCACCTTATTTATTGGATCTGGCACCATGCAACTTCTGAATGTCCTCCAAAGTTAAAATGACCATGAAAGGTGAAGTTTTACCTGATTGAGGCGCATCTGTCCCAGAAATTGTTAAGAATGGTGAAATAAATAAATGTGCTGGTTTGTTTTGTAAAGCCCAAAGAACAATAGTACAGAACCTTAGTCTGGCAGTCCTCCTTCACTAACATAATCTTCAGTTGTATTTTCTTCCATTTTAATGAAATAAGGAGTCACCAAAAAATTGTGTTGCAAATCGTGTTACTCATTGAAAAATTATTTAGTAATAGCACGAACAGAGGTTGCAAAATTCTAGGCAAACGCTGATTATACATGAAGCTCAAAAGTCTGGTATGATCCCAAACTAGATTGGGGATAAGGTATATGATCTTTCAGAACATTGAATTTATGTACTAGAGAAGAGCAAAACTATTGGATCTCTGAATCTACTATTTGAGAGATTGTTGTAGTGTTAGGGCCGACGCCGCAGGGAAAGAGACCCCAAGGACTCAACTCTTGGTGAGGGAAAAAAGTTTATTTCCATGTGCATGGGGTCCCTCAGGCAAACGTGTGCGGAGGGGCCCCGAGGGGAATCTGTGCAGGGTTTTTAAAGGTACAAGCAGGAGGCAAGCAAGTTTACAGAAGCAAATCGCATTGGTTAATTTTGAACGGCGCAGGACTTGGCTAACGCTGATTTGAGGGTCTGGGGCTGAGTAACCATGGAGACCGAGGGTCTTGGGTTGACCTTAGAGTGCCAGGTGCCCCCTGGTCCTGTTTATGCAGTACATTCTTTTGCTTATCTCTATCTTTACAGAGAACAGAACATCTAGTGGTTAATGACTAGCAGAGACATTCCTTTCTGCCCTGCTCTGATTATCTCCTGGGAAAGGTTTAGGGAGTGAAACATTCCTTATAGCTCTGTTCTATAGCTCGGGGGGGGGGTTACATTACAAACGGGGAGTCGATTCTCTCATTCCCCCCTTTTTCTTGTGGATGACTTTTAATCTTAAAGGTCCTGTATGGGTAAGGGATCATATTGTTGACGTAGCACCATAACTTTTACTTGAGAAATCTGGGCCCTCACAAACCAGGTTACTCGGTTAATGAGGCAAGGGGCTATAGCCATGACTATAATGAATCCGGCCAGGGGTCCCAATAAAGGGAGGATATAGGGCAGAATTGATTCCCGGAAAGAGAACATTTTGGTTTTACTTGAAGGGGGCTCTCATACAAAGATCTTTAACAATAGGTTTTTTTTGTTTACAGGGGGACCAAAGCCGCCGTGTAAGGTCGGCATCAATGTTATCAAAACAAGCAAGCTAAAACAGTTTATAACCAGCATAATCTATGTTTTAGTCAATTTTTAACTTTAAGGGTTACCAGTCTGTTGTGTAGTCCACTGAGTATGTCCCTCGTTGTTTGCTGTTTCCAGTGGCTTTACATGAGTGTAGTGAATCCGCGCAGTTTTTCTTGCTACCTTGATGGCAGTGAGGGTACTGAGCACCACGGTGAAAGGTCCTTCTCAGCGGGGTTTAAGGGAGTCACGGTGGTGACATCGAACCAAGACTGGAGTCCCTGGGGCCTTGAGAGGCGTCTCTGAAGGCAGGTCCAGGTGTTTTTGTCTAAACAGCTGGTGGATCCAGGCCAACACAGGTTGGAGTGTCTGTAGGGACTTAAGATCTCGATTAGTAATTTTAGCTAATTTGTCTTTTGACAATCTTGGAACCAATGGCGGGGCCCTCCCAAACATGGCTTTAAAGGGGGAAATTTTGGAAACATATGGGGTATATTTAGCTCTTAACAGTGTAAAGGGAAGAAGGCTCATCCAATTATCGCCAGTTTTTGAAAACAGCTTAGCTAAAATGTCCTTGAGACTTTGGTTTATAAGTTCTACTTGCCCTGAGCTTTGTGGCTGATAGGCACAGTGGAGTTTTAATTAATCTTTAATGCCTGGGCTAACTTTTGGGTGACTCGGGCTATGAAAGCCAGGCCATTATCGGACCCCATTGATAGTGGGAGGCCAAATTAAGGTATGATCTCATGTAATAGCCTTTTAACTATCACTAAGGCTGACTTAGATTTAGTAGGGAAAGCCTCTACCCAGCCAGTAAAAGTGTTTATTAATACCAAGAGATAGCGGTGTCCCTGTAAATTAAGTTTTACCATGTCTATGAAGTCTATTTCCCAATGTTCTCCTGGAACAATTTCTTGATGTCGGGTGGTCTCCAACGCAGAGCTCTTGGCTGAGTTGACTAACAAGCACTGTGGGCATCTGGAGCTCGAAGAGGTGGTCAGTTTGTAGAGTTTTGGAATAAAATACTGAGTTCTGAACAATTCTGCAAGGTGAAACAGCTCCCACCCTAGTGCCTCCAGTAACAGTACTTGTTTATCAGGTAACTGGTATTAGCCCCTTGGGGTGGGAGACTTTATTCCAAGTTGAGATGCCAACTGTAGGTCTTTCTTTGTGTAGACTAGTTCTGACAAGGTCAGAGGACTAGTATCAGAGCAGTTACTTTCTTGGTTGACCCCTCTGATGTGGTTGTTATTTTTCATCTCTGGTTGGGTGAGCCTTGTAAGGAATAGCAACCCATTGAGGCAGCCAGACAGCTGCCAGCAAATCTAGAATCTGTGGAGCATTTTTAGATGGCTTCCCCGTATATGTACAGTAGCAAAGGGATGTCTTCAGTAAAAAAAAATGTTTACCCTCTTTTCTGTGGCTAGTTTTAGCCTCTCAGTCAAAGCAACAAGCTCCGCCTTTTGGGCAGAAGTGCCAGACTCTACCCGCTTAACCCAGAGTACCTCCTTTTCAGCGGTCACTGTTGCCCCGGCCACTCGTTTGCCGTTTTGGATGAAGCTGCTTTCATCGAACAGTTGTCGGCATTTCCCAAAAGCTGGTCAGTAAGATCAGCCTGTAGGTTCTGCTGCAGTTCGAGGATGTCAGCGCACTCATGGAGAGAGGTGTCCTTTGTTCCTCCGGATCATCATCAGGCATAAGGGTGGCTGGGTTTAAAGCTGAAGAAGTCTTGAATATCATTGACTGTGGGTCTAGAAGCAGGGCTTGACAGTAGAATTTTGGCATTTGAGAGCCTTTTTTCAGGAGGGGTTTTGATAAGAGTCTCTAAACTGTGAGAGGTTACCACAGAAATCACTTGCCCAAA